ATTAGGGGTGAGTTAATTAAATATTTGACCACTATGACCTGAGAATAATATTATAAATATCCCAATGGCACTGGCAGAGAAAACGTTTCCACACCCCTTATGACTTCCAAGTCTTTGTTCTTGAGCAATGTACTAAACTGCCTCCTGATTTATTACTTCTTCTTCTTCTTAAAGCCACATAGCTTTGTGGCTGAGAACACATGTAAACGGTAAAAAGATACTGCGGTAAAGATGGGTGAATTCCATGACCATTGACTGCCAGGATGGCAGAGGACTGAATAGTGTCGTGTTCTGGTGAACACAGGGTTCCTCTGAGTCACAGTGTACTTGGCAGTGTCTAAGGACAGCACCTAGGTTAACAGCTACGTGCCACCCGAGCATAAATATCTTAATAGCCCAGTGAGACTCATGAAGGACTGCAAAGACTATCTAGTGAAGAACTTCGTTTTCCAGGCAGGAAACGGAAATCGGTATGGCCCCGTCCAAGGCATGAATAAGAGCCACATTCACCTTTCCCACAGAGAGCTGACCCTGTCCAGTCACAGCACTCTGTCACTTCGTGGGCGTCATTTGCTCATTTGGTCATTTCAATCACCCTAAGGACTTCGCAGGTTGAGTCATTAAGATGACTGAAATAACCACACTGATGATATGTTTTGTCGACATTTTAATTGTCTTAATAAAGGGATAAGAGGATCAACTGCTCATGAACTTAATCTGCCATTAACTGCTTTCCTTGCTGACAGGGCCCTGAGCTCTCCGGTCTAAATGGAAAAATGACAAAATGAGGTTGGTATTACATTCTATGTAACCTCCTATTTTTATATTGGGATTTGGAAGAAGTGAGGATGAAATGAAGTTCAATACCGGTTTTACAAACGTCTCAGTTTTCTCTAGACCTCACGTCTTGAGAAGGCCATCCCAGGAATGGTACTAGTGCCTTGGACCTGCTCCAAAGCATGGTTTTCAGGGTCAGACATTGGTTTGGGGTACCACAGTGGCACACCTTCATAACAAGGGTGACTCTGGGAGCACAAATGTCCTGGGCTTTCACTGCGTGCAGTTACATACAGGGGATCTAAATCCGATCTAGCTTTCTCTGTTGAAGTCATCCTTCTATACCACATTTCAGTTTGTTGCTCAATGATAAAGTTTAAATGGTTTTCATGAAATCATGGTTTTCACCCAACTCTCAATAAAAAAATTAAAATATATTATTGAAGAGCCTAACAACCGCCAAAACACTAGCCCTGCAGAACTGTTTTAAATGCTGGTTACTCGCAGTTCATTGGCATCACTTACAAAGGGCCTTTATCGACCAGCTCAGGGGTAGAGTTTCAAAAAAGTTCCCGAATGCTTTCCTAACCACCTGAGCAACGCCTTCACCCAGAGAAGGTCAGGATGCTTCTTTCAGATTTATAGGCCAAGGGGTAGGGGATTAGATCAGAACTATAAAGTTCTTTTTTAGCTAAGCCATGCCTTGCCAAGGCGACCTCAGGCGTGACCTGGCAGGATGGGCCCTTTGCAAAGATTCAGGACCACCTCCTGGAAGGCCTTTATTTCCCTTCAATGATTTACTTGTGCTTAATAACCATTATTCACCAAAAATCTGTTCTGAAATTTAGCCAGACTTAACCTTGTTGCTCTTGGTGCTCACTTCTCTGCTCGCTCCTGCCCTCGTGATAGAATGGCGAATTCTGTTCGCCAGGAATCTGCATACAGGCTTTCCCGGCACCCCACCTTGTCATCATAGCCTCCTCTCCCCACCAATATTCTCATTACTGAGCTTGGCTTGTGGCCCCGTTTGCAGGTACATCCCAAACGGGTCTCCAGACCGTGAGCATTGAGCCCAACCTCCCCCTCTGGCCCCACCTTGTTGCCCCCACACCTTCTTACTATATTCCGGCTACATTGTCCATCTTTTGTGTGCCTGGAACTTGCCTCGCTCGTTCCTGCCTCAGGACCTTGGCACTAGCTATTCACTCCAAGCAGAGCTTTCAGTCCTTGGGTCTTCACACATGCCGTTGGCTCAAACGCAACACCCATCTCTCAAACTCAGCAAATCACGGCCATCCTCTCAATGCCGACACATCGGGACCCTAGAGAATAAGGTAGAATTGCCCTTGTGAGTTTCTGAGACTACACCTGCTCACAGGAGCCAAAAGCCTGTCTGTCTTCCATGGAGCAGCTGGTGGTTTTGAACTGTGAACCCTGCTGATTGCAGCCCAATGCGTAACTACGATGCCACCATCACCCTGGGAAAATGATCTTTATAGTGCTTATCATTTTCTGAGATTCCCAAGTACTGTTAAACAAATGATTTGCTTCATGTTTGTCTGGCCCTCTCTCCACTAAAATGTTAACTATGTGCAGGCAGCAAATGTCTGGCCCAGATAATTTGTTTTTTTAAATTTCTTTCATAAAATAATTTTATTGGGAGCGCTTACAGCTTTCATAACATTCCAGATATAAATTGTACCAAGCATATCTGTACATATGATAATTTGTTTTGGATGCTCCAGTGAACATCCTTGTTTGAGTGCTCCAGGTCACCTTCCACATTACCAGCAGGGGTAGCGTGCTGAAGCAAGCCCCAAGCTTCAAAACCAGCCTGGCCTTCCTACTGCACACATACTCCACAGGACGCACCCTTGCCTTCCAGCCTTAACCCAAGGGGGGTCTCAGGGGTTTGCAGGAGCAGACCACCTGGCCTTTCTCCCCTAGACTAGGAGGTGGGCTTGAACTGGCAACCTTGCTGTTAGCAGCGGTGCACTGAAGCAATGTGCTGCCAAGGCTCCTCCTCCTCTCGGCTTCTCCTCTCGGCTTCCCTCCTGCTCCAACCGCCCTGAACTTCCATTTCCTGATCAGGCTGTCCTCCCTCCCACCTCCGTGCCTTTGCACGGGCACTGCTTTGAGCCCAGATCAGCCTCCATTCTCCTCTCCTGGCAATGACTTCCCCATCCTTCAGGATCCCTCTGGGGCAAGTCGTTCTCTTGCTGAAACTCCTTGAGCATGAAGTTGGGGTCTGTGTTCTCTGGGAAGTCGACCATCAAGGCAAATCTCTGGACTCCCCTTCAGCAGTGTTGTTAAACCACCCTTTCCACAGAGGACTGGGCAGTTCAGCAAATTCTCCTACAGAACATTGTACACACAACCCTTAAGGCATGGTCATTCAAGAGGTGTTCTGTCCATCAGTCTGCCTGCCCCACCAGACTTGAAGATAGAGCTCTTGTCTGACGACACTGCCTAAGCTGTAATAAAATGCTACCAAAAAGTTGCATGAATGAATCCCTATGTCATCAGTTTGCTCTCCTCAAAGCAGATCATGTTCTATTTAATCCGTGCTTCCTGCAAAGACTCATTTGTGGAATCTCTGTGGTTTTCTTTGGTTAATTGCTGCCTTCATTATAGAACCTTTTCCATACCCAACAGTGAGCCGGATGGACATGTATTTGGACCACAACTTGAGCCTGTTCATGATGTTCCTTAGGAACTTGGAAAACTTACAGTTGAGCTGTGTCAGATTCTCTATCCTTTCCAGAGAGTCAGATTCCCAGGACAGGAATGGAATCTATTTCTTTCAGGGGGCCAATATAAACAGTAGGGGTGCTATAAACTTTCCTAATTTAGTTGTGTCACTTGCTTTGGCTAGAAAGAGAGGTCATTTGAAAATATAAGGAGGCTAGAGACTTTCACCAAGTTGGGCAACATGCTGAATGAAGAATGCCATATTGGTATTTATAGATCCGAGCAGGAGGCCTAATCACTTTTGATCTATCTTTTTGGGTTGATGTCCTCCTATCAATTCAATTTCAGACCTAAAAAATTAATTCTAAAAAAAAATGAAGTTGTTCAAGGACAAGCAACCTCTAGTTACTCAGAGGGCATTCATTTGCGGAACCTTCTGGCCAATAACAGTTTTATTATTCAACTTTATTGGAAGACATGCTCAGGGGCTTGCTTGAACCTGGCTTGAATCCCAGCTGTGCTGCTGTTCATTAGTTGTATGCCCTTGGATGAGTTGCTTAACATCTCTAAGCCTTAGTCTCCTCTTCGGTAAGGTGGAAATGCTCATAGAACCCAGCTAAGTGTCCTGTAGAGAAGATAACGCTCAGGTGTGCATGCAGTAGATGGCCACCGTGATTCTTGTTGGTTCTGCTATTGCAGGTACCTCCTCAGGACATAGGCGGAAGAGAAAAGAGTCATATGTTTGGGCCAAGGTTATATATACCCTGATAGTAACCTAGTCAACTTTATTTTAGGAGGTAGAGGGAAATGGAGAATTAGATGCTACTATGATAAGATAGGAGCCCTGATGTTGTAGTGACTATGCATTGGGCTGAGATCTGCATGGCCGGCAGTTCAAAACCACCAGTGGCTCCTTGGGAGAAAGACTAGGCTTTCTACTCCCGTGAAGAGTTACAGTCACAGGGCCTTGCTATGACTCAGCATTGATTCGATGGCAGTGAGGTGTTTTTTTTTGTTTTTTTTCTTCTGATTACAGGATAGTTGAACGGCTTTTTCTAAATAATGGTTGACAATATATGTACTATGGGGCCTCCTTTCCCATCACTCTTAGGACAAGGCCTGCATGATGGGGCCCATTGGATTGCTTTAGAATTATTCCATCAATAGCTCTCTCCCCCAAGACTGGAAGTCTGAAAGGATGGACTCAGTGTAACTTTTTTTTTCTGTTTTCTCTCACCTAGCACATAGGTGGTACTCAATTATAATATCCTCAGTGTGTTTTATTAGTATTGCTGTTCATGTCAACTTGCCCCATACACTGTGAAGGCCAGGAGAGCAGTGACTATAGCTCACTTGATAGTCTAGCACTCACATGACAGCTGGGCCACACGTTTGCTGAGCGCATGGCCTTCGGGGGCGGGGCTTGTGCTTCTAATCTGCTGTCAGAGGAGGTGAGGGCTGGGAGAAAGGCAGCAGACTAGGAGTGAGGAAATCGTGTTCGCCTCCGAGCTCTGCCACCTCAGGAAACTCACCGCTTTGCTCTGGGCTTCAGCTTCCTCCTGCACTACCTGCATACACACACGAGGTGGACCTGGGGTCTCAGGAAAGAGGAAAGGAGGACAGAGGTGGGTATGGGGAAGGCAGGCGGCCAGTTTAGTTGGGGAAGGCTGAGGAAAGAGAGAGAAAGAAGCCAGGGTGGCCTATCGGGTCTTAGCCTTCCTGGCTGCATCTCTGGGTCCCTCAGATCTATTCCCAAAGGCTGTTAGCGGTCAACCAAGCTGCTTCCAAGGGGGTCATGGAGAAGACTGACTGTGTTACTCTTCCCAGGATTCACTGGGAAGAGGTGGACAAGACTGGGCCTCAGAAGACGGAGATACTTAAGGAGGTAGTCTGCCCTGCCTGGTTGATATCAGGGAGGACTGGGGACTGCCCTCCCAACTGAGTCAGTTTGAAGTATCCGGTCAGCCTGTTGGCTCCACCATTGTTCCATTAGTTTGTTGGGTTGTTGATAGGCTAAGAGTCCCACAGCAGGGTGTTGATCTCTCAGGAAGTTCTCATAAAACACCTTTAATTTAAATAGTACTTTTCAGAGCTGACCTTGATACGTTGACTGCGCTTTAAAGATTAACAAAAATCTGTCTCAAAGCCCAGGCTTACACAGGCTCAGTGACCTATTTTAGGGTATTTGTTGGGCATCTGCTAAAAATTACTGCTATATAAAAAAAGAAACAACCTAGATTAGTTATTAATAACATAGATGTGGTTCTTACACAGACCTTTTAAATGGAGGCTCACAAAGCTTTCCAAATAAACTCAAATCATAAATTTGTGGAATAAAAGAGAAGTCTAACATCGGGAAATCCATTACTTTCTAGTAAAACCTAGGCATTGACCTGGGTAGGGGCCAGTGTTAACATGAACTGTTAACATAATCTGTACCCATCATTTGAATAGCAACTATTTTCCCATAAAGCACCATAATGCTTGCTAATGATTCCATATGCACATCTATACATCAGGAATTAGGTCGGTAGCAGTTTAAACGGCATTAAGGAATCAGATAATTTAAATATAGAGATTTTGCTGGCTGTGCATCTGGTTAAAGAAATGATGGGTGGTCCTCTGGACTGGGAGATCCACAGTCCTATTCCTAAACCAAACCTCCTTGGCTCTGGCCAGCCACACATGCCCCAAAGGGACCCTGACTCAAGAAACAGGGACAGAGAACCCGGGGTGATGTCTGCTGTCCCGGGCCCTGTGCCAGTAAAGAATTATGGCACCTGCTCTCCTCATGCTCAATCCCGAGCACGTTTAATTCATTTCCCCCCTGGAGAAAATGTGCAGGGTGCAAAGAGCGTGGTGTGGAAATAGGGTGGAATTCTGTACATGAATTTTTGGTAGAAATAAATAGCTAAGAAAGGACCCTGATGAAATCATGGGCCACATATGAATAAGGAATACGATGCTATCATATTGGACAGCTGCGCTACAGCAATGCCAAGTCTCCTGACCGTGGAAAACGGCACCGTGGTAGTTATGGAAGAGGATGTGCTTATCCCGGGAAATCCACCCCGAAATATTTACGGGTCAGAGGAACACGATGTTTGCAACTGCAGAGTACTCTCAAGTGGGTCAGGGAAAAACAGGCATGCAGCAATAATATGTGCATATATATTCATATACGACATTATACAATATTATCAATTCTATAATATATTTAATTATATGAACTATATAGGAGGGAGCTTTAAAATTTTCTGGAACATTTTTAATGTATTTTCATTTCATTTGTCTACATACTTTTTAATATATAATAATTTTCTATGTTATAGAATACATGATTATGTAATTATATTGATATATAAGAACATTATATTGTATCATATATGCGTGTTTCTCAACTTGTGGGTCACGACCCCTTTGGGGGTCAAACAACCCTTTCAGGGGTCACTCGATTCATAACAGTAGCAACATTACAGTGATGAAGTAGCAACAAAAATAGTTTTATGGTTGGGGTGTCACTACTACATGAGGAACTGTATGAAAGGGTCATGGCATGAGGAAGGTTGAGACTCACTGCTTTGTACATATTTACAGAAAGAGAGAAAACAAATGGGGCACAAATTAACTGCTGGTGAATTTAGGTAAAGGCAGTAGGGAAATTCTTTGAACTTCTTTGAAGGTTTAAAAGGATTTAAAAATAGAAGGTTATAGAGGAAAATGCAACAGAACAAAAAGAAGGTCCAGGTGTAACACACGGTCTTTCAAGAGACAGCGAACATCGGCTGGGGTTCCAGATGCAATGGAATCTGGCGGCACTCTCAGACCGACTAAATCCTCAGGGATGTATTTTGAGAATAAACTCTACAGTCTGACAGCCACGCGAAGGGATTCAAGTGTTTCACAAACCCTCTCCGAAAACGTCCTGGGTGTCTGTGACCAAGATGAGGTGCCTCCGAGGGAGTGCACACCAAGGTTGTTTTAAGAGCAAGGTGGCCAACTTATTTTGGGGGATGACTAGGACGCCTGGCTACAGTTCCCAGCCCGCATTGCCAGACGTGGCTGACGTGAAGAGACGCTTATGTGAGTCTGGCACTGGTGGCAGGCTCTGGCAGCCCTCATGAATCACTGCCCCACCCAGGGAAGAAGACAGGCTCCACTGGACGTGCAGAGAAGCTGAGGCTCTGAGAGATGAATCTTTTCTAAATAGGCTCAGCAGCTTCAGAGCCAAAAAGCAAGGCTGTCTAGGGCTCCCAAAGCCCAATGGCCAGTGTTTCTAGTCACCTGCCTGCAAAGGTGTGGCTCTGACCATGAGAATGGAGATACCAAAGTAAACGGCAGACAGTGGTCATGGCTAAAAGCAAAGGGATGATGGTCAAAGAAGCTTCACTTCTCTAACTATAAAACGGTGTAATGACAGTACTGGTGGCATACTGGCTAATCGCAAGGTCAGTAGTTCAAAGCCACCAGCTACTCTGAGAAAGATGAGGCTTTTTACTCCCATAAAGGCTTGAAGGTAACAAGTGGTCATCTAGCCTGATGGTAAGGCTTGAAGGTAAACAAAGCCCATATGGAAGAAGCACACCAGATTGTGTGATCACAAGATGCCGAAGGGATCAAGTATCAGGCATCAAAGAACAAAGAATCATATCATTGAGAATGAGGGGCAGTGCAGAGTGGAGACCCACAGCCCATCTGTAGACAATTGGACATCCCCTTACAGAAGGGTTGTGGGGAGGAAACGAGCCAGTCAGGTTGTGGTGTAGCAACGATGAAAAACATACAACTTTCCTCTAGTTCCTAAATGCTTCTCTCTGCCCCCACTATCATGATCCCAACTCTACCTTACAAATCCGGCTAGGCCAGAGCATGTACACAGGAACTGGAACTGGAAACTCAGGGAGCCCAGGACAGATGAACCTTCAGGACAAGTGGGTGAGAGCGGCCATACCAAGAGGGTGGAGGGGGGGTGCGGTAGAAGGGGGAACCGAAAACAAGGATCTCCATATAACCCCCTCCCTGGGGGATAGACAACAGAAAAGTGGGTGAAGGGAGACATCAGACAGTGTAAGACATGACAAATAATAATTTATAAATTATCAAGGGTTCATGAGGGAGAGGGGCGGGGAGGGAAGGGAAAAATGAAAAGCTGATACCAAGGGCTCAAGTAGAAAGCAAATGTTTTGAGAATGATGATGGCAACAAATGTACAAATGTGCTGGACACCATGGATGGATGGATGGATTGTGATAAGAGTTGTATAAGCCCCCGATAAAATGATTAAAAAGAAGAAACCCACGGTATCAGAAACTAACAGGGACAGTTCTGCTCTGTCTTACGAGGTTGTTATTGGTTAGAATTAACTCCATAGCAGCGAGGTTGCTTTTTGTTTGTTTGTGTTGTGGTGACTAGGTGAGAAACTCTATTAAGCAATTAGCATAGTGCCTGATAAAATAATAATCAATCCATAGTTAAGATATACAGTATTTATCACTGCCGGTTCTGTTGTTCTATCATCAGTCTTAGTAAAGGTAGTTATGCGTTTTGTCAAGAAATTTTGTTAATGGCATTCACGGACTGTAGTGAATGGAAAGCTCACTGGAGTGTGTGCGCACGTGTGCTCGGTGCCATTGAGCTGGCTCCCACTCATAGCAGCCCTCCGTACAGCAGAAGGAAGCACGACTGTGCCATCCTCACGATTGTTAGATTTGAGCTCATTGTTGCGGTCACTGTGCCAACCCACCTTTTTGAGGGTCTTCCTCTTTGCCGCTGCCGCTCTGTTTTACAAAGCTTGAGGTCCTTTTCCCGGGACTGGCCCAAAGTGCATCTCATCATCTTTGCTTTTGAGGAGCATCTGACAGCACTCCTTCCAAGACAGATTTGTTTGTTCTTCTGACAGTGCACAGTATTTTCAGTATTCTTAACCAACATCATAATTCAGATGGAGCAATTCTGCGGTCTTCCTTTTTCACCGTCCATCTTTCACATGTACCTGGAGTGATTGAAAACACCACGCACACCTCAGTCCTCACCACGACACCCTTGCTTTTCCACACGTGCGAAGAGATCTTGTGCAGCAGCAGACTTACCCAAGGCAATGTGTCCTTCGATGTCTACACTGCTGCCTCCATGAGGCCTGATTGTGGATCCAAGCAAGATGAAATCCTTAACTTCAATCTTTTCTCCATTTGTCATGATGTTGCCTACTGGTCCAGTTGTGAGGATTTTTGGTTTTTGCACTGTGTTGCAGATTCTACTGAAGGCCGTGGTCTTTCATTCCCATCAGCAAGTGTTTCAAGCCCTCTTTACTTTCAGCAAGCAAAGTTGTGTCATCTGCATATTGGAGGTTGTTAATAAGCCCTTCTCCAACCTCGATGCTGCCTTCTTCATATGATCCAGCTTCTCGGATCATTTGGTTGGCAACAGGTTGAGTTCCTGATGGTGTTTCCTTCTGTTGTGCATAGGGTCTCTATGGGTTGGAACCCACTTGCTAGTGCCTAACAACAGCAGGCTGAAAACGTATGATGAAAAGATACCACCTTTCTTCATATTAAACTATGAAATATTGCCTCGTTCTGTTTCAATGACTGCTTCCTGGTTC